CAGACCTTTAAAACTCAGATCTGGACCAAAATGATACTAAGAAGGATAAAGTTTCCAACTTTATCCTTTGGGACTACTCCAAAGGGTCCAAAACCCATCTACAAGGCTTGAAGATGTAAGGACTTAACCAATAAGCACTTAATCTTCAAAGCTGATATCCAATACTTTCCAGAAGAGGTTCTAGCACTAAAACCAACCCAAAGGTCGGTGCTTTATAGACATGCATGTCCAATGCATGTCTTGAACCCAAATTAGGTCAATAATGAGGATAATGAACAAATCTCTATTCATGGCATCAAAACTCAATCATAAGCCAGATCCAACACTCTACAAGGTCACCTTTACCTGGAGATTCATAAAGTTGCAAACTTTATGAGATCTATCCACTCCAATATTCAAGAACAAGAAGCTAAAGGGGCAAAACTCGAGATCTAGCAACATGGAATGATAAAAATCGGATCTTGGACACTTACAAGGGTCCAGAAGAATGTCAAGCTGAAAGATGAGGGGCTAGCTTGTTGGATCTTGCTTCCTTCTTCCAACCTTTTCCTTCTTTAGCTACAAAAACACCATACTAGCTCACACTTGAGAGGGAAAGATGCTTAGGGTTTTCTTCAGGGATTGGGGGCTACTGGTGAACAAACCCTAGCCTCCACTTTCCTTTAAATAGGGAGCAAAATCCAAAAATTAGGGTTTCATATCCAGCGACCAACACGTCGTGTTCCAGGAGACAACACGCCGTGTTGCTCTTAATGAGACCCGCGCCTTTTCTTATCTCGACACGCCGTGTTGGTGCCTCCAACACACTGTGTCCAATTCTAAAAGAAGATTTATACCAAAAGTTGATCCCCAATTTTCGGATGTTACATTTTGTCTACTTATCAAATCATGCAAAGACCTATTCCTTATGACCACCAGTTACAGATAGTGTTAGAATAATACTAATACACAACCAAGTCTTATAAAAAGAACTCAATGTCTCTTCGTTTTAAGAATAAAAGATATTATCTTCTTAGTGTTTCTCGTGATTGAATCCATGAAGTAATCTCTCTTAGCGTGGGTTTCTCCAATACTTGAATCCCTATTAAGCACTCATGAACGTTAGTCGGAATCTCCATGTTATGTCTAATTATAGACAATCTACTAACATTTCACAACAATCTTAACTCAATAAGGGTATTCCCAAGAGTATGACCAAATGTGGAGTTTGAGTAAATTACTACTCTGGAAGTGGGGATCTAAACATCCAAAAACGAAACACAATATAAATTTAACTAAAAATGATATCACACTTGAACACAAATAAATCTCCATTACTTAATCACCATAACAATTACAAAATTTATTCTTTGCTCTAAGTATTTTAACTATTCAACTAACTAGTTAACTTTACATCATCTCTCATGCCTATGCTCCTAGCATGCATACTATGTCTCTCTTTGGTCATCCCTTTTATGAACGCATCGGTTGGGTTCTCATCTGATGACAATCGTTTCACAACTAGATTTCCATCCTCAACCCTGTCTCGAATGTTGTGGAACTTCCTCATTATATGTCTCAACCTTTCGTGATCCCTAAGTTCTTTAGTCAAGGCGACTGCACATCCGTTATCACAAAACATCTTCAACGACTCTTTGTTACTTGGAACATATCTAATGTCTCCTAAGAAGTTTTTGATCCAAACTGCTTCCTTGGAGGCTTCAGTCGCAACAATGTACTCAGACTCACAGGTAGAGTCGGCCACCGTTTCATGCTTGGAACTTTTCCAAGTCACTGCACCATCATTCAAAACAAATACCCATCCAGACTGTGACTTTGAATCATCTTCATATGTTTGGAAACTGATATCACTATACCCTTTCACTACAAGTTCTGATTCTCCACCGTACACAAGCAACATGTCTTTCGTATTTCTCAAATACTTAAGAATGTTCTTGACAATCGTCTAATGACTCGGTCCCCGATTTCCTTCATATCGACTCACCATGCTCAAAGCATATTCCACATCAAATACATGTCATAGCATACATGATCTTAATAAAAGTTGTTGATGTTGTGAAATTGGAATAATTAATAACATAAACTCATTTTCCGATGAGACTGTGAATAAGTTTTAGATAAATAAAAGTTTAAGCACTTAAGATCATAATTGGGATACCCAATATTGGTGGGCATACTCACGAACCCGAAGAGTATTTAATAATAGGGTTCCCGACAAGAAGGAAGTGAGTTTGAGATATGATTTATAACTAAATATTAGAATGGGATCACCAATGCTAGTCCTATTGCCACCCTTAGATTAATTTCAAAATGCCTAGCAAATGCTTACAAAAATCTTTTTACATAGAGAGAGGTAAATATTATAGATTTCGCAAAATTCCTGAAAATTTAAAATTAACTTAGGTTAAGTTCTTCTGGTTAAGCTCGTAAATGAACATGAAAAAGAAAAACCTAAATCAAGACAATCAAATATTCTATTATTAGAACATAATAAAATACAAATGAAAATAAGCCAAATGTAAATGAAACTTAAAATTGAAGGTCTAAATGAAGGATTTTGGAAACATGTTGCCGAACTCTCTTTGGTCATTTGTCAGGAGCTTCGGCCCATTGAGAATTTTCTAACGATATAAAATGAACATCCAAATTACGGATTAAAAGTTCCGTCCACAAATCGGACCATTTGCTCCTTATCCTTTCATCTAATACATGTGCTAAATATTCAATATGCTACTCTAATAAGTGACAATGTATTGTTAATAATTTATGTACATACAGAACTGGTGCACATGAAGCTAGCGTCCTATATTCTCTATTATTTTCATCTAATGAGATGTCCATTTCAACGCAATACCTCTTAATTTCTTAATAACAACCTAATTTCGGATGCTTTCTCGATGATTCCGTTCAGACTTCAGACAACCAATCTACATTATATA